GAATTACTTTTTTTTTTTTTTTTTTCTGAAAAATGCAATAATAAACACGTCCCACAATGGCTTTGTTTCTTTCCCAAAGCTTCAAGAGCTTCAATAAATATCTTGACTTTATGAATTCCATGCAGAAATTAATGTCAGAACATGAAATTAAATCTCGCAAGCACACACATAAAACAAACTGGAAAGCCGGTGTGGATTGTTTCAGCTGAATAATCAAATAAAAATATAATACGAAATCTCACAACCAGAGAGACTCATTATTTCTGTATTATACCACTAGACATTGAGTGGGGGAGCTGTGTGAGCTATGTGTGTGTTTGAGTTTGTGTGTTATGGGTAATTGAAACAGGAGCAAATCATTGAGGTTAAGCAGCATGGTCTGGTGCTTTGGAAAACTTAATGGTGGAAGCATTTTTTTAACCGCTTTGCATGTGCAGTGCATCGGGGGAGTGCACCACCAACAATCGTCACGTGTTGTTCACGTTGACGCCTTCAGTGCCTGCTGTGAGGCAATACAGTGGGTTCATGTTAGTAATGCACTGTTTGAATATACAGATCGATACTCGCTCGTACGGCTGAGGGATTAGTCAGGCTAGACCAATCCATAGTCAATGCTGTTGCTCCGCCACTATCTTAACAAAATAATTTAATTTCCTTGTTTTTACTTGAGCTGATAAAATTAAAGGAAAACTAAAGGCTGCATAGCCCATTAAAGGCTCTAGGCCGTCATACTTTCGCAAGAAAATCAAAAGGTTTACAAGGGTAAAACATGAATACATTACAATTAACCTTTTAATTGTTCTCTAAGCAGATAAGTGATTTGAAAGCAAATCACTCTTAATGCAAAGATTGGATTATTTCTTGACAAGAAAAAAAATTACCTTTTTTTTTTTTTTCCAACAATTTGTCAAGTATCTTTGTGGTGGCTTATTTGTGACACATAGAGGGGATTTAGCGAGCGCCTTTAAATCTGTGCAGAGAATGTGGTTTACGCTTTTGGATCTGAATGACCATGATTTTGCAGTCCTGCAAAGTAGCAAGTGTCTGAAGAAAAGGCACACAATAAAGAAGCAAGAAAAGTGTGCAGGTGCGGTCAACGTTTTGTCGGAGCTGTAGTTTTGGGCCGGCCAGTATGAAACTCCAGAAGCACATGATTTTAGTGTGGCGTGATGCGTATTTTATTCTTCTTTTGGTCATTTTCTTTTAAATAAATTTCATGCATGGATGTTGTTTTCCTTTTTTTTTTTTGACTGTAATTATTTATCTTTGGGTAAGCAATGAATTTCTATGAGGCAAAATGAATGTCTGAACCACCTCAGCTGGCTCCTCTCAATGTGGAGAAGCAGTGGCTCTGCCAAATGGCCAAGCTTCACATCCCATCTGTAAGGGAGAGATCAGACACCCTAAAAAGTC